AAAAAAAAGAGGGAAGGAAACTGAGCAGTAGTTATCTTGAGCTGTCCATGTGCCTGTGGCAACGTGCTCAGCTCTTTCAGTGTCTAAGTTTTGATTTTAGCCGATGTTTCTGTTTAGTTTAACAAGTATGTATGTGCTTATTAAATTTGTTTCGCTTTCCTGAGCTAGTTTAATTTTGCTTTTCTCAAATTCTGGGAGTTAAAAAATGAAAGTGAAAGTTCGTAAGATGCCTCCAGCCCTCTCGTTAACGCTAATGCTTTAATGCTTGAGGAGATAATTTTCTCTCATGTTGGAAGGGTAAGGGAGGATTATGGTTAGAGGTTGATTCCGCATGTGGTTAAAGTACTCTACAATTGTTCATTTTTTGATACGATTTCATTCATAATGTTTGCAGTGGGGGAGTACAGGGGTGCTTTTATTTGGTTTTGTTTAGCAGTTCCGCAGAATGGGATTGAAAACAGGAATAGCCGCAGTGCCCTTGCTGTGGGCTGGCCCGTAAACCTGAATTGGTGCCTTCTGTATGGTGCTTCTGATGGAAAGTGGCAGTCAAATGGCACGGATCCATTTTGTTCATAATGCTTGCTCCAGACAAATTATAACAAGTGGAGAATGTGAATGCAAGATGGTACAGAAAAATATTAGAAAGTTTCCAATACTGTACATCAAATTTGGGTCTACATATAATAGTTTTTTAGGCTTAAGTTTACAACTTTGCATGTTGTAACATGCATATTATGTGTTGTTAAGTTTAAACTTTGCACAGAAAGATATCTTAGAAAGTCAAACTGTATTTGAAAGGAAAATAGTTTATATTTTTACTTGGGGGCTGGTGGAGGAGATAATAGCACTGCCATCGGTCAGTTTCAGGTTTGGAAACAGACTCAATGTGGAATTGTCTGTGCATTGTTTGTTTGCTTCTTTTCAGTAGTGTTTAGAAGAACATGTCATGCTAAAACCTAATCAGGCTTTTGGGTTTTGTTTGGTGTCAGTCTCCTCTCTTTCTCCCTCTCCTCCAAATTCTGCCTTTACCAAATCAAAGTGCATTACCTCTGCCTGTGAGTGCTTGTGGCAGGTGCAGAGCATTTGGACCATGAGGACTCCTGACACACAGGTGGTCATAGTTAAATTTTCTCTTACTTAATGAGTTTTCTGTGAACTTTTCATGGACAGTGTCTTCTGAGAATCAGACGTGCTTGGGCTTCAGACTGTAGTGGTCACATAAGCAAAGAGCTTGTGGAAATGTGTTCTGAGGCATCCAGTTAAAGATGTAAATTGGATTGTACTGTTTAATGTAGCATGGAATAACATTTGTGTCAGTTTTGCGACTCTGCTGCCTATTTGTCACTTGGAATATTTAGGTCAAACAGAGAACTTCATGGTTATGCCACTTGTGCTCAAGAGAAAAAAAAAATAATGCTAGGTTTGGATCCTTTTGCCTTCCATTTTAATTTTGAAGATGCATTAATTGTATGTGAAAATAAAGATCACTGAATTTAGTTTGAGTGCTAAAGCAAGAGCAAATCTTCTTCATTGGAGAGTTATAATAATTGTAACAGTAAATTGGTATATTCATGGGGCATTGTTCAGATGAACCCGTGTAATGTGGCAGTTTGCCTGGCTTAGGGCAGTGATATTTTTTTCTTGTGGTTTGGTCATTTTATTGAGAATAATAGAATGAGTTCTAAAGTCAAACTGACCAAACAGATAAAAAAATAGAGAATACTGTTAACTCAGATTAGCAGCTTGAGTTGATACTATGTGATAGCCCTGACTTCAAATAAGACTTATGTCCTGTGGCATAAGTGGCAGTAGTGAAATTCCAGTTTGCTGAATCCCCACCAAATTTTTGGGTTGAACATTACTACATGGTGTATTACTGCCTGCTGTAAACCGTATTCCTTGATGGGTGAGTTTCCTCAAGCTTGAAGCACCGTTTAACTCTTATTGTGTGTGTGTGCGTGCTGGTCAGAGAGGTGGTAGTGAAGTTACAGTTGGAGATACCAGGGATGCAAAGACAAGCTTCAGAAGCTGTCTGGTGCCTGTCTGTATATTTGAAAGGAACACATGCTGACTGCATAAGAATTCATCCTGTATGTCTGTTCATAACAGTTCATTCTGCAGGGGTTTTGGCTATAGGCTGAGTGGATAAGACCGGGAAGAAACACATCAAGTATCAGATCTCAACTAGCTTTCAAACGGAGCTGTGGGATTAAGGTTTTTGAGGAGCCTGCCAGATAGTTTTAACTAAACTCATCTCTTGAGCGCTTTCACAAAATGTTGGGAGTGTTTGATACTTCCTTTAAAGCCTCTGTGTAATATTTGCATGATTAAATGTGAAGATCCTTTTTATTGCTCTTGACTAGGTTTTGAAGTGAGTTAACATAAAATTCTGTAGTAAAAGTAATTATGTTTTCTAAGGGGAGCAGCAAGTATTTTATCTCACTTTTTAGTATGTTCATCAGTATTTTTGTTTATCACTGTTATCAGCAAATTAGGTAAGTTGCAAGTCAGAAGTCAGGCCTTGTGCCTGATGAGGAGATACTTAAGCTGCTCGAGGTAGTGAAGTGTTTATGAAACTTATGCTGTGGGACCTCTTCAGTAGTCTGTTTCTAGGAAGTTTTGAGTCCATCTTCCTTGGAAAGGGGATTGAGGCTATTCTAGAAGGTTCTTTTTTAGTGTTTTGGAGTATTAACCTTGTGATTTAGAAATTAGGGCACTCTGATATCAATATTTGACACTGTATAGTTTTCCTTCTAAATGCACAGAATAATTCTTGTTGTACTCTTCTGTGTGATACAGGTGATACTGGCCAAGGAGCAAGAACATGGATAAAACAAATTTTGAATCAAGACATGGCTTTCCAACATATAAAAGTAATTTACCCCACGGCTCCTGCCAGGTATTGTTTGTTATGTTTTAACTGTAGGATTAAGTTATTCTATTCCAGTAATGTAAAATATGCCTGTGAATACTGGTACAGACTGTCATAACACTTCCTTCTTTCTCATGTATATGCTTTTTGGCAAAACTGGAGCTTAGCAGGGCATTGCTGCCCAGGGACTGTGATGTTAAGTGGTTAAGACTCTGAATGGTTAAGACGTCACAGAAGTCATGGTCTCTTAATTCAAATTCAAGTATTGTCTTCATAGTATCTTTCCATCTCCTTGATGTAAAGAGAGGATACTCCAGTGTGTGTTCTAATGGCATTATAAAGCCATGCTCTGGATCACAGTCCTACCTTTATTAACTCCCGGAAATTAATCACTAAAATATTCTATTGTATTTAATGCTGGGTTTCAGTTCCAAAGGTGGTCAGTCTTTTTGCAAGTAAGATGTGAAAGATCTTCATCTGCTGAAAAAAGGAGACTGGAAATTTGGAGTTACACATTTCTTCTAGTTTGAATCCTGACCCAACTATTTCAGAGAGAATTGAGTTCAGCACCGGCTGTAGGCACAAATCTCATTATTAAATGATACTGTATGTTTAGTGGTAGACCGTAAATATAGACAATAATGTTTACCCCTGGGAATTTGAAAGCTGTTGAGGTTAAACCTAAAGGCTAAAATTTGGGCACCTACCTCCATGTTTAGCTATCTAAAGACGTGGCCTTCTATTTCAGAGATGTTTACTTTTTCATAGTATAAATTCATTTTTAAGGTGTCTGTGACTAAGTTAGAAAAATGTTTCCTTGAAAAGTCATGGGGCTTAAGTTTCTTTCTGAATTTGTGCGTAAGCATGGCTGAATGCTGAAAGGAAAAGGAAATTGTGACATTCTACACAGACTTTCGAGGTACAGAAGTTTGAAAGTCAGAAAAAAAATTTCTTGGAGGGTATAAACAAGCATAATAGCAGATTTTGTCTGGCACTCACTAATACATGAAAAAAAAAAAAACTTTCCTTGACCATGTATTTTTATGATCTACTTAGGCAGGAAAAGCAATTGAGAGATTGCAGTGTGAATGTACTCACTGTGCTACAGAAAAGTCAAGCCCATAAGTGGAAGTCTTTGAAGCAGTGTGTTTTGGGTTAGTGGGTAGTGAATATGATTTTCTGTAAATAGCATGCTCATTACTCCATTGATGACAAGCTAAAGTAATGGCTGGAGTTGTCAGTGGCACATCACACATACTGACAGGCTCCATTTCTTCCCTATCAACACAGCACGTACTGGAGAGATGCAGGAGGTTTGGCTTCCCTGTGAAACAGTCTTTCCTCACATGTTATATGCAGCCAGAGCATCTCAGACCCCATCTGTTAGGCCAGTGCTTCATTTTCTGGGGTTTAATCCTTTTCTCATTTGTTTTGGTTTCTTTGGATAACTACAAGCATAAACTACGTATAACTGATTAACCAGCACTATCTCCTGACTCCCATGAATGGTGTTTATGGGGAATTTGTTTTTATCTTAAGACTTTGGGTTTCAGTACTTTGGTAAACAGATAGGAGGAAAGGTACTGTTGTAATTCAAAGATGTGAATAAAGAGTTAATTCCACTCTCCTTTTAAGTTGGGTACTCTAGTTCTTCTCTAGAGCAGATGGAGACCATGCGTGTGTTGATTCAGAAGTGGTTTTTAGCAAAACAGTGAGCAAAACTGAAAAGTTGTGTATTCAAAGAATAAAAAGTACCCACAGTGTTTGTCTTTGACTGGCAATAAGAAGTGCCATTGGGAATGTTAGTGTCCAGCCCTCTGTTGCTGATAAGCGCCATTAGCTGACATAGTGAAATAAAGCAGATGCCCTTAAGTACAATAACGTTTGCCACTGTTTGCAGCAATGCTGAAGTGAAGTTTGTGAAGATACATCTTATTGGTTGAAACGGAAATAACAGAAGCCTTTGCAGACCCATTTAATGTTGTTTTGGTATTCAAGTCCAAAACACACTTTGGTTTTTGAAACATTTGTAATGGTTCTCTCCTTTCTCCCACAGAAAGGAAAAACAAAGCCTGGAGCATCCAGACTTGAATGGCAAACATTAAAATAATTTTATCTGCATTCGGAACTTAAATGTATGGTTGATTTTGTGTGTGTGTGTGTGTGCTTTGATAAGAATTCCAAATGCTTCTGGCACCAATGGGGGAATTCAGCATCCCTGATAATGAGCCCGATGGGTAGATGGGTATGGGTATGCAGATGTAGTCTTTGATCCTGTCGAGACAGGGTGATATGCCAGTGGAAGGCTGCACTGGTGTGAGCAGGAGTCTCTGTGGGTGGCACACCCCGCCACTGCATTGTCAATTACGGGAGCAGAGTACAAAGCTTGGCAGCAGGTTTTTACCCTGATGATGAAATCAAAGAAAAGCTTCAAGTCAGGCAAGACCAGACTAGGATTGCTTGGCTAATATGTGCTTCTGGCAAAATAGTGTTAGTGTGGATGTAGTTCATAGTCTTTAAACTCCTGTCTTTTCCAGCCTAACTTCCCACATACACATTGAACGCTCTCCGTCAAAGTAGTTATGCCAGTAAAAGCAGGTTTGATGATACAACTGCAGTGCTAGACACTTTGGCAGGATAAACTGTAGGCCAGGAATACCTCATCATGTTTTTGATGCGTATAATTCTGATGATAGATGGATCTATAGGTTTGGCCTTATACATTTTTTCACCTCTATTAAATAGAATCCTGAAAAGCAGTGGAATTCCAATGTTTTATTGAAAAATTTGGATTTTTTTTTTTTCTTTCTAGAGGGTGGATGGGGTTTAGGTTTACATTTTGTTCAGATTTTATCCCAGGCACTGAAACATACGTATTTTTCATTTACTACAATATCAGAGGTTCAGACATGTTTTGATTCAAGAGTCAATATGTTTGAAAATCATTTTGGAAAACCAGCCCAGCGTATAATCTCGAAGAATTCTAAAACATGTTCTCTGGCTTCATTACCATTGATTTCAGCGAACGCTAGAGAGGATACTTCCATTTTATGGGTAAAAGCAATGGAGCGTTACTGAACTACACTTTATAAAACTGTCTTTTACTTTACTCTATAGGGCTCTGTAAAAGGTGACACTTTTTAAAAAGATTTACTCTTCTTTAATCATTTTTATAATGCGCAGGGTCTGCGTAGAGAATGATCACCACATGTCCCCTGGGCAGGTAAAGTTTTTTTCAGCATTTTGTCACACTCATCCCCCATCACTTTGAAAAGTCCTGTGAGTTTCGTATTTATTTCCTGAGTGAAAATAACAGAATGTAGATAGTGCAATTTACTGTTAAAGAAGAAAAACTTGCAAAATGTCCAAGTAAAATGTTTATGGTAAAATGCTTATTGCAAAAGCATGCTTAAATAAAAAAGGGAAAAATATGTGGATTTAAAGTCTCAGTGTGATGTAGTGAGAGTAGTGGCACCTGGATTTGGAATCTGTGTGGAAATTAAATGCATGTAGCTGGGGCATGCCAATTTTGCTTTACAAGTGAAAATTTTTAGACGTCGCTTAGAGATATTTGGGGTTTTGTTTGTAATGTAGACAGCTGAGATACTTAAAAATGCATAGAGAACTTGTTTTAAATTGGTTGTTTTAACTTTATGCAGCTTTCTTTCAAGATCAGTGCTTCTGTACATAGAATAAAGTTTTTAAACACAACAGAACTCTATTTCCTCTCCCTTGTAATGCTAATGTATATCTTTAATTAAAAAACAGAAGCTCGGATTGTAGCCCTAGCAGCTGATGCAATCCCTAAAGCCACGTCTACAGTAATAGTTTTAAAGGAAAGGGTTTCCTTTTTCCTTTTTTATTTGGGTCAGCATGGCTACAGCTTTAAATACTGTTTCAGCTGCTACAACTGTGACTTAAACATTAGGTTTCTGTTGAGTTTCTAAATCAGAACTGAATACCACCCAATTTAACCTAAAAAAAAAAAAAAGAGAGAGAAAGTGATAGTTTAAATTGGCATTGCAGGAGCTAACGTGGTAAAGTTAAAACCATTTAGGCTCCACTTGTTTTAATAAGTATACCTTACCTTCTATAATTCCCTTTAAAAATCTAGGTCAAAGATTCTTTGCGTTGTCTAGCATTCCATTCTGACAGTCCTTCTCTGTTGCAAGTCAGAAAGTAAACTATACATACTTCTTGGGCTATTTAGTGAAGAGTTTGTTGTCTGTTTTGTGGTGGTTTTTTTTTCCCCAGTTTATTCTGATTTCCCTTGTCTCTGAGTATGTGGCTGGTAAGGACTGCTCAGCATTATATGGCCTGGTACTCCATCCTTTCACCTGAGTTCACATCTTTGGCTCACGGGTGGAAGTGGGCTTCATCTCCTCGTAGTCCCCGTTTGGCTATATCGCAAAACCACCAGACAGTTTGGCACCCTTCAGCTCCATTGGCAGCCTCTGCTTGCAGGAGGCCTAGGACTGGAAAAGCAGCAGGGGTACTGCAGGTCAGGCTGGAGATGGATTGGCAGAGCCGCGTAGGGGAGCGTGCGCGGTGCCTATCATCCTATGTTTGGCTCGAGCAGATGTTATTAATCCTTCACTTCTGTAAGCCCTAACCATTCATAAATTTAACACAAGTCTTTTTAGAGGTGGAAGTTTGAGGGATGAGTGGAAAAGGTTTTGGTTGTTATCATGGGGTGGTTCTTTCGTCTCCTTCTCTAAGTAGAAATTTAACGTATTCTGCATAATAATGATGGAAGCACGCTTGGGTAAACTTCGTATTTTCCTTTTATTTCTCCTGTTGGATTAGGTGAGGAAAACATATGGATATGCATACGTGCAGTGCTTACATCATATACTAAATACCATGTGGAATGCAATAAACGTTTGTCAGAGATACTTTAGTCATGCTTTGGGAAAACAGAGTAGAACATGATGGCAATAATCTCGGATTTGTAATCCCTTTAACCACATGGCACTCTTAGACATCCTCCTTCTTGTTTTGCTTCTCTTAACCATTTTCCAATACAG